GACCTTATATATAGAAAGACTATGGGAGGGATCTAGGAGTTGCCAAGTAGTCCATGAGGTAATAGAACTCCAGGGGTGGCCAAGGGAGAATGAATCCTAGATAGGATCAAAGGCGGGAAATGGCCTGGGGCCATAGGGACGTATGGAATTATAGCCTCAGGAAAATGCCAGAGATTTGGCCATGTGGGAAAGTCCAGGGTTTTTCCTTTTTGGGGTCTAGATCTCATCCTCATCAGTTTTATATATGTCATACAGGGCCTGTTTCCTCAACCAATTTGAATAAATTTCTATTCCAGCATTACTTCATTTATCCAATAGCTTTCTCTCTTTTAAAAATTGATTGGGAGAGAGAGGGGGGGGGGAGAGAGAGAGAGAAAGGAGAAAGGAAAAACCCTGGACTTTCTCACATGGCTAAATCTCTGGCATTTGCCTGAAGTTATAGTCCTATCATCTGGTCTTTCATTATTGACTCTACCCAATCTACCTCCAGATGGCCCCCAGCCACTCCCCACCCTTAACCCTATCTAGACGCCATTCTCCCTTGGCCATATGATCCAGGTCCCAGGCACCCTATTCACCCCAGTTTACTGGCCATTCCCACCTAGATCTTCCTTAGATCCCTCCTCCAGTCACCCCAAACTACTTGGCCACTCCTAGATCCCTCCCACAATCTTTCTGTATATAAGGTCCATCTTATCTCCATTAAGGTGCTCAGATTCTTAAGATCTGGCCTGCTTGCATTACTATACAACTGCTTAGATTCCTTGAGTCTGGTCAATATGGCAGATGTTCTAATAAGCCTTGACTTTGCCTGAAAGAAGGCTTGGGTTGAATTCATTTGGGCAGAACCTGTGTGTTGATTTTGGGGTCCCAGTGATGAGGTCTAGAGATTTAGGGGTGCTGGGACCCCAACATCACAACATGCAGATTCTGCCTGAAAGAATTCAACCCAAGCCTTCTTTTAGCCAAAGACAAGGTTATTGGGCAGACTCTTAGGGAGTCTAAACATTAGCAAGCTATTGGCTAGATTGTAAGAATCTAAACCTTTTAATGGAGACAAGATGGACCTTATATACGAACAAGACTGTGGGAGGGATCTAAGAGTGGCCAAGTAGACGATGAGGTAATAGAACTCTAGGGACCTAGACTGTGTGGCCAAGGGAGAATGGAGCCTAGATAGGATTAAGGGTGGGAAGTGGCCTGGGGCCATAGGCAGGTAAAAGAATTGGGAGATTGGGTGTAGCCACAATGAAAGGCCAGTTAATGGGATTATAGCCTCAGGGAATGCCAGAGATTTGGCCATGTGGGAAAGTCCAGGGTTTTTCCTTTTTGGGGTTTAGATCCCATCATCACTAGCACCCCTAAACCTCAACAAATAGAACCCCAATCTTACAGGAATTTCCCTTAGTATTGTTCCTTTCAACTGCAATCATGTTCTGCTTTCAGTGCAAATCATCTTGAAGCTTTAATAAGCTCCAAGGTGGTATCAAAATTGAGGAGTGGGGGTTGTTAGGGAAAGGACACAAGCATTGAGTCTTCTGCATTTTTGCAGTAAAACCAAAACTGCTGTCCTCTTATTGGAGGACATCTTGGCCTTTCCTCCAGATCTGTCACTTGAATCTATTTTCTAATTCTGTGGGTAATTCAAAGTGTTTTTTTAAATCCCTCCCCCCCAATTGTCTGTAATATTTTTTTCACTATAGTCAAGTATGTTGTTAGTTCAGTCTATTGATTCATTTCCTCCCTCTAAATTAGCCATTTAAAAATTATTTCCTCTTAGCCTTTTAAAGTATCTTCTACTTCCAACTTGAATTTTCCCCCTAGTTTTAAAATTCCTTTTTTGATATTCCTGTATTTGGCCTTGTGATTTTTCTTACCAGGCCATTTCTTGCACATTTATTTAAATGTTATTCATCTGTTTTAAGATGTTTCTGAAGATACTTAATTTTTTTTTATTCTCTTTTATGAAAAATTCTGAACTTAGATATCAACAAACATGAACATTTTTGTATGTAAAAAAGTCAGAAAAAGAAAATTACATATGAAATTCTGACTCTTATGTGCAGCTTTTTAAAAAGTATGTACTATACTTAACAGAGTAGCCCCCACACTGACATGTCCCCTTCTGAACTTCCTTTGGCTATCTTCTGTGTACTTTTAAAATGTTTCATTGATGCTCTTTTGTTTGTTTCTTTTTCCAGAAGTTATAGTTAGAACTTTAAGTGTTTCAATTCCTTTGTAGTATCTTTTTCAATATATTGTCACATTGCTTTGCTCATTTTCAATTCTGGTTGATTTTTATTTTTTGGGGTGTGATTTTTTTTTTTTAGCTGTTTTTCTTTGGTGGTTCTCTTTGTTGTTTTCTGAGTGATAACTGAAGAGACTGTTTCTTGTCAAATCTTCTCTCCTCACCTTCTTGTCTGGCAAACTTGTGCAATGATATCAAATAGAGGAGAAATCACTTCTAACTGGAGGGCAATACTCAGAGAAATCCATCTGAGAAGGAATAGCAATCAATTTAAGCCTTCAAAGAAGGAGAGAATGTCAAAAAATTGGATGAGACTTAAAGAGTTTGAGAAAGGCACTACAAGCACAGGAAAAGTATGAACAAAAATATGGAGACATAAAATTACGGAGAAAGCAAGCAGTTCAATTTATATCTATGGTCTGTCTTCAAACTACTGTTCCAGTCTCATCCGATATTATTTATATACACAAACTAGATTACTTGCTACTCCCCAAGGTCTGTACTTCCTCATCTTTGAATCTCTAGTTGCACTGTTCTCTGTCCCAGAATGTCCTCCTCATGGCTCTTGCTTAATGATATTCTACCAATGAAAAACTTGTATTAACTGATACAGAACAAATTAGGTAAAATCAGGAGAACATTATACTCAATGATCACAGTGATGAGGGTAAAAACAACTCTCAATGACTTCATAGCTCTGAAGAAAGGCATTACCAAGACTGATGAGGCATGTCTCCTGCTTCTGTAGAGATGAGAGAGGAAGAGGTACAGCATGTGGCACATATTTGAAAATCTATTTGGCTTAGTTATCTATTACAATTGAGTTAGTGGGAAATAACAGAAAAAGAAAGGGGAAAGAAAATGGCATTAAATGAAACATTAAAACACATAGAAGAAAATAAAAGTAAGTCAAAGGGGGACACAAATCAATAGAGCAATTATTATTTCCTTGTTAAATTCAATATAGAGGCAGTTAGGTGTTATAGTAAATAGAGTTGTTGAGGTGAAGGGAACCATATGTTGAGGTTTAGGTGATTACAGGTAGGACCTCAAAATAGTGACTGTGGGTCCTGCCGAAATGAATTAGACCCAAGCCTTCTTTCAGCCAAAGACAAGGTTTATCAAAGATTTGCCATATTGGTCAGACTTTTATGGAATCTGAACAATTGTGACACTCGTATTGACAAGCGGGCTAGAGTAAATCTTAGCCATTGGCTAGATTTTAAGAATCTGAGCACCTTAAAGGCCACTAGATGGACCTCAGATACAGAAAGACTGTGGGATCTAGGAGTGGCCAAGTAGTTTGGAGTGACAATGAGGATGGGTCTAGGGAGGATCTTGTTGGGAGTGACTGGGAGGTAAGGGACAGTGAAGGTTGAGTTGGGTCAAAGATAACAGAATTGGGAGATTGGGCATAGCCACAAAGGGCTGGTTGAGTGGGGGATTATAGCCTCAAGCAAACACTAGAGACTTCCTTGATAAAGTGGGAGTTCAAGGAGGGTCCAAGGTGGGATTTTCTAAGGCCCATAGACAAATGGGACCCAAATTCTTTTTGGGGTAAGGGACAAAGGTCTCAGCTTGGGCCCGTACTCCTTCAGAGTGACTGATCTGGAGTTAGGATAGATTTGAATGCAAATCCTGTCAGACATTAATTAACTATGTGATTCTGGAAAAGTCACCTAAACGCTCTGTGCCTCAGTTTCCTCATCTGTAAAATAGGGATAATGGCTATTACCTCACAAGGTTGTTATGAGGATCAAATGAGAAATGGCTATAAAGCACATTATAAATGCTATTTAATACATTTAAAAAATAAATTGTGCATGTACATTACAGAATAGCTAACCTTTGCAATGCACTTTAAGGTTTGCTATTATGATCCCCATTTTACAGATTGGGAAACTGAGGCTGAGGGAAACTGAGGCTGAGAAGGGTTAAATAACTTACCTGCAGTCACACAACTATTAAGTGTATGAGGTAGCATTCAGACTCAAGTTTTCTGGGCTCAGTCCATCATTCTAAGAAGCCAAGCTGCTTCTCAATGAGTCAGTGTTTCTGACTTCCCCCCTCCCCTGTTTGTTACGTGAATTTTAATGCTTGTTTGTAGATAATTAAGTTCATAATTTAAAAAAAAAGAAATTTTTTAAAACTTGAAAAAAATTCCTCTTGACCTTTCTACAGCCACTCCTTAAAGCCCCCCCTCTCCCATTTTTCCCTGTAGGCAATCCTTCTTATAGGCAGGCATGAGGTCGCCTGAGCACAGGGGTTGCTTCGGTGCCCTGAACTCGGTCCTTCCTTTCTCTGGGCCTCAGTTTTCCAAGCTGTAAACTAGGGATTACGTCACTGGCACCAAGAGACTCTTAAGTAAACTCTCATACAATTACATAAGTGAGATCTGCAAAGCTGGTGGTGGCAATGATATGGGCTTCTCCTGGCATATTGGGAGAGCCGCTGATACTCCCAAGGATGACTGCACCTTCTCTCGCTCGCCATTTTCTCTACATCCCTGAGGCCGGGCTTCCTCGAGCCCGTAGCATGGAGAAAAGAGGAAAAACAAAACTCCATTTCCCATCATGCTTCGGCCTCGCGTCCTCCCCACCCCGGCGTTTCCGCGCCGCGTACCACCGTTATTTCCGCTTAGCGCGGGCCCTTTCGAGTTCCTGGTTTTTGCTTCCGGAGGTGTGTTGAAGGCGGGGACGGAATCACTGGAGATAAAGAACGTAGCTAAGAAAGAAAGGGATGTGACGAAGGCGCCTGCGCCGGAAGTGACGTTTTGGAGGGCGCCGCGAGGTATGTGAGAAGGGTCAGTCGGTATTAGTGGTTCCCTGTGCTGTCGGGCTACGAGGTGAGTCCTCGCTAAGGGAGCGGGAAGGACTCCCTGCCAGCTGCATTCGCTCCACCGGAGCCGAGTCCTTGGACCAGAGTCAGGGAAGGGAATGGAGCGGAACGGAACGATGTGGGTGGCACCGGGGCGGCTCACTGGTCTCTTTCTCAGGAGTCGTCGGGCGCTGAGCCTCGTGCCTTGGGCCTCGCGGGGCTTGCTTCCTCCAGTCGGAGCCAGGGCCAAGAACGGGGTCGCGGAAGAGGAGGATGAGCTAGCTCGACCCATCCACTTCTCCTCCAGCAAGGCGAACCCGCGCCGTTGGACCGTGGAGCACTCCCTGGGAAGCGATCGTCATCGTCCCTGGTGGAAGGTCGTACCCTTGAGCGTCTCCCTTGTAGCGCTGATCTCTTGGTGCTTCTTAAGGAAGGAGACCGATGTCGATCGATGGTTGACTGAAGGCTTGGAAGGGGAGTCACCAGAAGCAGACATGGATTCCGAGCAGCCTGGAAGCCAGTCTGGCCTGGGAACTCAAACTTGATTAAGGGCGTTCCAGACACTTAGAGAAAGGTCTACCTCTGCCACCGAATTCCTGTGTGACTTTCGTCAAACCACCTTCTCATTTGGGCCTTGATTTTTCTCCTTTGTAAAATGAAGAGGTTGGAGTAAATGGATCATCAAATTCCTATCAGCTCAGACTTTCAGCCACTCTAGGATTTATAACATTTATGTTTTTCTTTTCGGGTTATCCGATGTATTGCCCAGGATTAAGAAATCCTGGAATTTCATCCTAGTGGGACATGCAGGATGTGGCCAGAAACATAGCTGTCTTCTTAGAGGGCAGAGTCAGTGACAGCAGTAGACCATCAGCAAGAGAAAGAAACTGCCCTTTGGCTCACCCAAGTTTCCTAATGAAACTTTGGAAAGGGCTTCTCAGGTCCTTTAGAAATGTTGGTATTAATTATTCTAGTAAATAACAATCGGTGCTCTTGATTGCCTTGGGGTACAAAGGACAGTGCAGAATTGCCAGCTGGATATTCATTTGCATGAAAATGCCATCCATTTTGTTTTTATAAAACAATGTGAAAATAAGTGTTACTTCTGTAGCATTGAAATAAAGTAAATAATTTGCCTTTGGGTGGTATCGTTATGTGCACCCCCTTAAAAGAAGTTCATGTCAACCATACTGACGAGTTTCCCATATCCTGTTAGGGAAGAGATTGAAATTGGTTTTAATTGTAAAATTCATTAAATGTACAATAGGATTTCCACTAACCTTTAAGGTTCCTAGTGATCCTGTATTAATTTTGGCATAGCAGTGGTGGATCATTGGCAAGTATATATTAAGCTCCTATTATGTGCCAGGCACTGTGTCCTATAAGATTCAAAGAGTCATAGAATTTGAGAGTTGGGAAGGGATCTCTGGCCTTTTACTCTAAAGCATACCTAGAGAGCAAGTTTATAGGCCTGTGGTTAGGTGATTATTATAAATATCTGACAGTGCTTTAAAGTTTGCAAACTGTAATAGGTTCTTGACCCTATTTGATCTGCAAAGCAACTCAGAGGTAGGAACTATGGGTATTATCTCCATTTTAGAGTTGAAGTGTTACTGACAGGAGCTTAGCAGATGAATGGGGGAAAGGGAACAAGTAACACATTTATATAGTGCCTACTAGTGCCAGGCACTGTGTTAAGTGCTTTTTTTTTTATTATTTCAACAAATATTACCTCATTTGAGCTTCACCACAACCTGGTGAGATAGGTGCTCTTATCCCCATTTTTTTTTTACAGTTGAAGAAACTTAAGAAAACAGTGGTTAAGTGACTTGCCCAAGGTCACAGCTAGTAAGTGTCTGAGGCTAGATCTGAACTCGTCTTCCTGACCGTAGTGCTCTATCTACTGGGCTAATACATTCCTCTGAATCAGTTTATTCCAAGTTGTTTCTTAGCAGGAAAAACAGTTGAAGTAGATTGATTTGATTCTGAATTAAAAATTAGTGGCCAAAGGTAACATTTAAGTTTAATGTACTTACAGGTTTTTTCCCTCGATGTGCATCTAGTTCAAATAATAATAGCTAGTATTTATATAGCTCTTTAAGGTTTACAAAGTGTGCTTCACAAATACATCATTTTATTCTCATTACAACTATTGAGGTAGGGGCTATTATCCCTATTGACAGTTGAGGAAACTAAGGCAGCTAGGTTAAGTGACTTGTCCAGGGTCACATAGCTGCTAAGTGTGTCTGAAGCAGGATTTGAACTCGAAGCTTCCTAACTGGGTTCATCGCTCTATCCATTACATTACCAGCTGCTTCTAGTATATAAAGATATCACCTAAAGGCAAATTATTAACATCTAGTAAAGATGCCAGTATAAGAAATAAAGGAGCAGTAAGTTTCACTTTTCGATTGTAATATTACCCTGGCTTTACTATAATGATTTTGAAGAGCTCAAAGTACTTCATATTTTATGTGTGTACATATCTGTATGCTACCCTGGTAGTGGAAAGGGTACTGTTAATTCATTTTGGTAACTGGAGAAAGTGGTGTTGTCTGATTTTACCTCAAGTTGAGTACTAAGTATAGGGTCTAGATCTTGGACTCAGGATTTCTTATCTCTGTTAGGATCATTTCTAGATCAGCAGTGTTTAAACTTGATCTGTCTTAGGACCTCATTGTTGGAGCAGATATCACTCATTTGATATTGCAGAAGACCAAGCAAAACAATTCCCCCCTCCATGAATAAGAATGGTATTGTTTTTGATGAGACTTGCTGTTTAGTTTTTATTAAATATGTAGAACTAAATTATTGAGCCATATGTAGTATGTATATGTGCATATGCACACCTACACATGTGAATATATGTGTCTATGCGCACATATATACATATGCATATACACACAAACATGTAATTATTCTCCCTGCTTGTAGGTTCTCCTATTTATGGGAACTCCTGCTTGCCTTGGGGTAAGATTTCAGTGAGTATTGTACTTTCAGACTTGCTGAACTAGGGATATATTTTGTCTGTCCCTCAAATCCAGACCTCTGCCTAAATCTCTACCTGTGCCAGCATGAATCATATTAGACAAGGATTTAGCAACCATCTAAATTTTTTTTTTCACGTGAAGTGTGGGAAATAAAATGATAGCAATAAAGAGACAGTGAGCAGTGGAGGGTTAACAATTCCTTTGGACTGTAAGAGGCCAGTGGCTAATCCTGTCACCTACCAAGGCTAAATTGGCTTCTTGTTTCAGCTATGTTCCAAAGCGAGAAGAAATCACCACATCAACTTAATGAATATAATAACTTTGAGCTAATACCACTTTAAGAGGTGAGTGAGGGGAAATGCAAAGTTCGACTTGGCCAGTCTACAGTCTCCTCATGCATGCACCATGGAGGGTAGGGGAAGCAGTAGGTAAGAGGTTTTGATTTCCATTGACTGACCAAAGCTTGTCTGGCAGAAGAGAGGCAGAGATGACCCTTGCTGCCTGTTGGATGGTGGGTAACAGTAATGACTGCTCATTCCAGTTTCTGGCCTCTCACTCCTAGATACCTTTAAATCAAAATCCCAGAAATCCAGATTCCAACAAATGTCACCAACTAGTGAGACCTGGGACAATGTCTGCTTGAGTTCCTGGTCTCCATAGCAGCACTATTCAGGTAAGGAGCCCATGTAACTAGGATTCCACAGGCATATGGGTCCTTTTTGTCTTTGGGACTACGTCTGATAGTATCGCTGGGTCAAAGAGTAAAGTTTAGTGCCTTCTTAGGAATATTTTCAAATATTTGATTGCCATTTCTTATCTCTCTGCTGTGAGTCTGTGCTGGCACTTGATTTTTGCCACCCCCATGAGACTGATATCCTTTTAAAAACTTCCTTGCACTAGGAATCTATCCGCACTCAATCAGAGTGCTTTTGGGGGGATAATCGTGCTGTAGACGCATAACTCTTTAGTAAATGAAGTCCAAGATTGTTCTCCAAAGTGAAATTTTCCTCTCTAGGCATTGTAGGACCATGAATTCCATGAACACATCTCTTTATATTTGTGAGAAAAGGTAAGGTTACTGGTATGGTTAAAGATGGAGCATTGTATGTGAAGAGGACTGTGGCACTGTGAGAAAGAGGGTAGAGGAGCACTGTGAGAGAGGAGAGGGTAGATATTAAGGTTTTTGAGATGATGGGTCATTATGGTGATATGAGAGGACCATGTATTTATGAACAGGCTACAGATGGCTTTGTTTAAGAAAGTAATTGCGACAGAGCTGGAGAACTGGGTTTAAATATCCCACCTCTGATATTTACACCTGGATCATTCCCCTGTTTTTAGCAACCAATGAAGAAGCAGACTGTTAATGAAATAACTGGCCAGCTAGGGAATGTAATATGTACTTTGGATACCAGCTATTGTTACCTTTGGGTCAAATGGCAATGACAGGCCAGTCGGCCATGTGCAAGCTTTTCTGAAGGCTGCAGTATCCCACTGCTCTACAGAGGTTGATAACATGTAAACTCTTAGACTGCTCCCCTACCCCACTCCTCACTCCTAGTTCTTTCCCACTTGTGGGCAGAGCAGCTGGCTCTGGGTTCCATGTAGATCTAGTATATGACCAATAATATGCTAAACAATGACTAAAATAGGAAAATCTCAGCTACTCTGATACCTTAACCCTCATTAGGGAAACCTGCTGTTTCATTCGTAGGACTTAGACTTCACTTTTGAAGGTAAGATGATGTAGTAAAACTAAAGAAGTTTCCAAACAGCAATACTGTAAAGAAACCACTTGATCTATTAATCCTCATCCTTCCACTGGCTACCCTGACTTCCCAGAGCACAGGAAAGAAATAGGACTAGGGGAAGGAAGGTTTGCAATTCACAGATATCCCCTTGAGAAGCATTGGGAGAAAATAGTGTGGAAATGCAGGTGTTTGAACTGCCTCCTGCTGGTCACATCAAAGCAGGTCCCTTGGCAACTGACAGTTTACTACAGTCTCACTCTAGTAAGGCCAATCAATCAATGTGTAATTATTAAGCACTTACTATGTGCCAGGCACTGTTATGTGCTAGGCATACAAGTTCGAAGAATGAAACTACCTATGTGCAAGCACACTTGCCTGCAAAACTAGCCCTGACTGGTCCCCAACTTGTTGCGAAGTTTCATCTCACAAAAGAACTCACACCTGGTTGGTTCTTAGAAACCACCATACATGTCTGTGGGGATTGGGAGGGGGGCACTGTGTCTGCTGTGTGAATGAGTAGAACAGGGGAAGTTCTTAGCGTGTGTGAAGGGGATATCATTGATTGTGTATGAATGGGGGCAGAGGCATTGGGTGAATGTGAGAGAGGCAAAGGATGGGTTACTGTTTTGGAGGGGTTGGTGTACTGGCATTTAGAAACTTGTAAAGTACATAGTACAAATACTCTTATTACCATTTTACAGGTGAGGAAAATGAGACTTAGCAAAAGGAATTAAGTGGCTGCCTCTGGCCTAATGTGTCCGAAGCAGGATCTGGACCCACATCTGGACTCCAGGGCCATCATTTCTTCCACTGTTGTAGATTTAGAGTTGGAAGGGCCCTCGAAGTCATTCGCCTACCCCTAATTTTATACAGGAGGAAACTAAAGCCCAGAGAATTTAAATGACTTGCCCAAGGTCATGCAAGTAGTAAGCATTGTAATTTTTCCTCTACTCCATACCAGCTCATAAAATTAGAATGTATGACTGTCAATACCACTGGGAGACATCCTATGCAGTCAAGAAATGGGAGGTAAAACTGAAAGGGCAGGTTGAGGCTAGCCTATGGAGGGCCTTGAATGCTGAGATAAGCAATTTGAGATTTGTCCTTTGTAAGCAATGGGGAGACCTTGAAGTTTCTTAAGTAGAGGATAAAAACTACTTGGCAAGACACTTGATGCTAGCTGTGTGACCCTGGGCAAGTCACTTAACCCCAATTGCCTCCAAAAAAAAATGACAAAACTACTTGGCAGCTCCCTGAAACTGGTTGAGCATTGGCTCAACAGGGTCTCTTTCAGCTTCAACTCGTGATCTTAAGGCAGCTAGAATGAGGGTTGGCTGGGTGTACCCTGTCGCAAGAGGGATTGATTGGAGGAACACTGTGAGATGTGGGACTTTGTCTAGCATTCCCCCCTTGGCTTCTCTTTTCAAGCTCCATGACACCTTTCCCTCCCAATCTACTTGCAGAGCAGGGAAGACTTTGCTTCCTATTTTACTTAGTAAATAAAGGCTAGCCATTGTGAGCTTCTAATGTACTCAAAACTCCTTTTCATTATCCCTAGTCTCTAGTACTTTATTTCAGTCTCCTTATCTCAATCAGGCTGTTTTCAGCTTGGGTGGGTTCACCCCTCCTTAGGCAACCAGACGGCTCCCTGCTCCCAGGAGGCTCACTATATTGATGCCAAACTTATTGTGGACACCTGATGGAATTAGTCCACTCCTGAGCTCAAGAGATCCACCAACCTAGGCCTCCATGGTAGCTGGGAATACAGGTTGTACCTGGCACAGCCCTGGCACAAATGATCTTTTAACTGCTAAATTTATTGGCCTTTTCTCTGCTGTCATTCCTCATGACTTCCTGCTTCTGACACTGTTGGCCAGTTCTTGTTCCAGGATAGTGTCTTCTCTCTCAGCTTTCCTTACACTGCTCTTCTTTGGTTTTACTTCTCTGATTGCTCCTTTCCTAGTCTCTTTTGCTTGATCATAGAAGTATAGACTTAAAGATGAAAGGGACTTAGAGCCATCATAGGTTATGCAATTAAATGTCTACAAGAAGATTTGAACTCGGGTCTCTTGACTCCAAGTCCAGTGCACTATCTACTAGTCCGTTATACTTATCTGGTAGATGCTGGATCAGTATATGCCTTCTGCCTCCTAACTGTGGCTGTCCCAGAAGGCATTGACTTCGGCTTCTTCCCTTTTTACATTCTTTATCTTGGTGATCTCATCAGCTCCCTTGGGATCTATTTATTTATTTATTTTGGTGAGGCAGTTGGGGTTAGGTGACTTGTCCAGAGTCACACAGCTAGTTTTAACTCAGGCCCTTCTGACTTCAGGGCTGGTGCTCTATCCATTTTGCCACCTAGCTGCCCCCTCAATTCTTAGATTTATTCAAATGATTCCCAAGTCTGTATATCCATCCCAAATCTCTTCTCAATTATAGTCCCACATGACCTATTTCTTGCTGAACATCTCGATCTGAATGTCTTTTTTTTTATCTTAAAATCACCATGTTTAAAACTAAACCCATTCCCTACATTCCTCTAATATCTCCTTTCAAACCCCTATTTGTCCTGAGGGTGATTCCATTCTTACCATCCCCAGTTTGACATCTCTGAAGTATGCTTGACTCTTCTCTTGGTTTCATAGCTAATCAGTTGATATACGTTGTCAGTTCTACCTCTGTAAGATGTGTCCTATCTGTCCTCTTCAAATTCATGGCCACTACACTCATTTGGGCCCTTATTACCTTGATGACTGATTAACAGTCTGTTAATTGTTCCCCAATTTTACAGTCTCTACGTACCTGCCAAAATTATTTCCCTAATACATAGATTTCACCAATGTGCTTTCCCTGCTCCAAAATTTTCAGTGGTTTCTTATTTGTCTCTTATGGTAAAATAACACTCCTCAGCTTGGCATCTAAAGCTTTTCCCAGAATGGCTCCAGCCTACCTTCCCAGGCTTGTTTCATGCTACTCCATTTCAGATGCTCTTTGTTTCAGCTAAACTGGCCCTTTTGCTTTTCTCCAAAGTCACATTTCACATCCCTTCTTTCATGCCTGGAAAGCACTTCCTCTTTACATTGACTTCTTAGAATTCTATCTTCTTTCATGGCTCAGCTCTAGCAATACCTCCCAGATGTCCTTGTTCCAGCTAGTTTAGCATTCTCTTCTATTTGTGATAAGTTTCTCATCTGCTTATCTATTGCATCCCTTACAAGAATGTATGCATATTTGCTGAGGGCAGGGACTCTCGCATTTGTTTTTGTGAGGCTGTCACCTAGCTCAGTGCCTTGCATATGGCTGGCAATTAATAAATGCTTTTTCAATGTTGAAACAAAGAGGTACGGAGTGTTAGGAGAGGCTACAATGTATCTAAATGGTTGCTAATGGTGCAATGGATAGAGCTACCTGTGTGACTCTGGGCAAATCACTTAACCTCAGTTTCCTTAACTATAAAATAGGAGTAATGCCTGGAAGGGTTGCTTAGGATCAAATGAAATCATATTTGCAAAAAAGGCTTAGCCACAGTATCGAGCACGTAGTAAAGCCTATATAAACTTGTCAATTCCCTTCCGTACTATAAGGCACGGTGTCTGGTGGGCAAAGAGTACTAGTAGGTTTATGAATGGGATGGGGCAGTTTTCATGTGAAGGAGAACGCTCACACACAGTTGGCTTCATCTCCGTGCTTTTGCTTTCTCGGCATCTTCAGTAAATATTTAATAAATGCTCACTGACTAACGAGAGGATGAGAGCAATGAGTGTTGGGGAGAAGGCAGGGCATTGATTGTGATAGGTATGTGGTTACTGCGTGAGAGAGAGAGTGAGTGTGTGCGTGTGTGTGTGAGTGTGAGAGAGAGAGAGAGAGACGGCTTACGCCTGGCCTTTCTCTTCTTTCTCACTGATGGGGCTGTCTGCTTCGCAGACAGCGTTCTCACGCTCGCTCTCTTTGGTTGGGGGGGGGGTTTGACAGCCGCGAGCTGGGGGTCCCCTGAGGCTGTGGCGCGCGGCGTCCTGGCACCAGCGTGGAGGGGCAGCCCGGCACCAGCAGAGGTGGTCACTCAGGAGGGGGCTCTAGCCCCGGGCACAGGTCCAGATATGGGCTGCCTCGGGGGTGTGGCCTGCAGGGGCAGAGAGAAAGGGGCGTGGCCTCCGATCTCAGCCTCCCGGCCTTTGGGCGGTGTCATTCACGGCGGGGGCGTGGTATCTGCGAGCAGTTGGGCTGGGCGACGTGGGGGGCCTCAAGGTAGTGGGTGTGGTCACTGGGTGTGGCCGTTTCAGGCGGGGGCGTGGCCTCCGGGCGCGGGAGGGGGCCTACGAGCCTTCCAGGACGGGGGCGGGGTCCAGTGTCCGCCCGGGCTGGCGGGCGCGTGGGTGGGCGGGAGGGGGTGGGGGGCCTGGTGGGCTTGGCGAAGAGTGTAGGAGTAGGGGAGGTGGGGGGGAGATCCGGAGGGGGCGGAGGCGGGTCCGACCGGCGCATGCGCGCTGCATTGTTTTGACTGAAAATGCCGTCGGTTTCGAAAGCGGCGGCGGCGGCGGTGGCGCTGAGCGGATCCCCTCCCCAGACGGAGAAACCGACTCATTACAGGTCAGTGTCCCGTGCCGCCCCCTACCGCCCGGGGCTGTCGCCGTCGTAGCCGCAGCCGCCTCCGCCACGACAGGCGGGAAGCGGCCTCGCGCGCCCCCGCCCCCGCCGCCGAGCGCTTCGGCCCGCGCGCCCGCGTCCCCCGCTCTCCTCCCCCCAGCTCCCGGTCCTCCTCGCATCTCGGCCTCGCGGGCTGCGGGGCTTCCCCGCTCTGAGATGGAGGCGGTGGCGCGGCGCGGCGCGTTGCGGGGCGGGGCGGCTGGAGCGCTCCCGAGGCCTCCGAGCAGCCGCCGCCGCCTCCGTCCTCCCCGCCCTCCCCTCCCCCCGCCCGTGGAGCCGCCTCCCAGCCCGCCCCTCCCCCAGGCCTCTCCGCCCGCTGGACGCCTGAGCTCAGGGCCGGGCCGGGCCGGGCCGCCCCACTCCCCGCCGAATACCCTGAACTTCCTGCCTAGTGGCCCTTACACGGCCTCCCGGCCTTTCCCCAGCCCACCTGGGCCCGTGGCGTGCAGCCCTTCTTCCCGCGTCCCGGGGCTCCGGGGTCTTCCCTTCTACCTCGCCTGCCCACTCTCCCTCTCGTGGCTGCCACCCTGCTATTTCCCTATCCCCTTCCTCTGCCGGGGGGCCCCAGATGCCAGGCCTAAAGTGCCAACCTTTACCTTCATCCACACCCCTCACACACCCCCTCTTTCTTTCATTTAAAAAGTGCTGAAAGCTACATTGGTGTTAACCAAAATTTTTCAAAATCTGCCTTCGGGACAGTTTAGGAGCTGGCTTCGTAGTTTAATTCTGTATATTCTGAAGGAATCGGGTGTGGATGGATGGGAGGGGTGTGCTTTTTTTCCCCGCCTTGCTGCATTTAATGCAGACCTATGCCTGGGGGGATTCTCTTTCCCTCTCCATCCGTTGCCGTGTAGTTGAAGATAGATGGCTCATAGGTCTATTTTAAGTAGGAATTCCCTTTCTAAGTTTGGCGGTGGTCATTAAAAAACCATTAAGCAATTAACATGAAGTTGCTGGGTCCTAATAAAGTTACATTGTTTTACACACAGTTTAGACTGACAATGAGAACTCTTAAGTTATCAAGCAAACACTGCATCAAATGTATAGTACTTCCCTCCAGCTGAAACGACTTGTAATACCATTTATCTTTTTAGGTATCTAAAGGAATTTAGGACAGAACAGTGCCCCCTGTTTTTGCAGCACAAGTGTACACAACACAGACCATTTACCTGTTTTCATTGGCATTTCCTAAATCAGCGTCGCCGTAGACCCATCCGAAGGCGTGATGGAACTTTTAATTATAGTCCTGATGTATATTGTACAAAATATGATGAGACTACAGGAATTTGTCCGGATGGTGATGAGTAAGTGTATAACTTTCTTTTTGTACTTTTAGTACGTTATGGTGATTATCAAAGTGATTTTAATAATAGTTTGCATCTTACCTGGACAAAGACAATTCTTAGTCATCACATTGGAAGGTGAAGAAAGAAGCTTTAAAGATTTTAAGTAAAATTAATGACTTACCATAGAGTATTTATCTAGTGTTTGAAACTCTGCATTTTTAAGGTTTTAAAAGTACACCAAGAATTCCCTCTTTTGTTACTCTGTTGTTACTCGTATTGCTTATACAGTTGATAATAGGTCAGCATATGTTGACGGTGGACTTTAAAACTTTTAGCAGTTTAAAAGAATTGAGTTTCCTCTCCATATCTGTAGTAATGAAATTAAAACTGTTTTCACAAAAATGTTATAAAATTATTTCTTTTGTGATTAGTAAAGTACAAATTAACATGAATTTAAAAATAGAAAACAAAACTGAAAACTGCTCACCCACAAAAAGTTTACTGCATAAAGTAACTGAATTGAAGTGGAAGTGACCGTTACTGTCACTGACTTTCAGAGAGTGAATTGAAAATTGATGATTTTATGAAAAAAAAACAAAACAAAACCAAACAACTTTGTATTGAACCAAGTCACAGTTCTTCTGTATTGTTTTGACACTTAATAAGTACCTTTGGTATGCTTTCCAAAATGTGCAACCTGTAAAAGGGAGGTATACTCTCTTGCTTTCTGCAGAGAAGGTCTTTTTCAGGGACCAATTACTAAAAAAAAATCTTGAGCTACAGTTGTTAGTCTGGTAAGGATAAACTTTGTATATTATTATTTTTAAAAATTTTAATCATTTCTTCTGTGGACCTTTAATGAATATAATAATATCATTGTAGTCTGTAAAAGATGCATTTGGTATTTCTGCTTTTCTGCATTTGTTCCTGAAATTTTTATGCCCTGATATGTAGTTAGTTTTTGTAGAAGTGGCATGCACAGCTGGGAAATCCTTTCTATTTCCATTCAGTAATATCTGGAGGTCTGTCATATCTCACTTTTCTAAAACTGTGTTCTGGTCCTTCAGTTTTTTGGTTGTTTTTTTTTGTTTGTTTGTTGATTTTTTGGTTAAATTTATCTAGATCTGAGAGAGGTAGTAAAGTATTCCACTATTAGAGTTTTCCTGTCTCTTTTTCCCTGTAACTCATTTAACTTTTCCCTTAAGTATTTAAATGCTGTTCCATTTGGTGCTTATGTTTAATACTGATATTCATTGTCTATGGTACTTTTCAGCAAAATGTAGTTTCCCTTTTATTTTTTAAAATTGGGTCTTTTGTAAAAAACTGTTGCTTTTTCTGAGATCATGGTTACAATCCCTCCCTTTTTTTAATGGTAGCTGAAGCATAATCTGTTTTGCTTCAGCCCCTTATTTTAACTCTTGTGTGCATTTTTCTGTTTCAAGTATGTTTCATGTAAACAACATGTTGGATTCTTCTTTCTCATCTGTTTTCTATCTTTTTCTGTTTTATGAGTGAGTTCATCCCATTCACAATTATGATTTTTGATTTTGTATTTCACTTCATTCTGTTCTCTTATACTTTCTTTCTCTTTGGTTCCTGTTTCTTTTTTATGAAGAAGAGAGCAATGAGAGACAAGGAGTAAGCTCAGAACTAGTGCTCTAGTTTTGGTGTAATATGCTTCTGTTTCTTTTCCCCTCTTCTCTTTCCCTTATGTATAACCTAATAACAGCTTCTTGTCTTTTTTTTCCCTTTCTTTTAAGCCTCTCTTTGAAATCCACCCTTCTAAGAAAAGTTTGTTTTGCTTATGAGTAAACCCTCCCTTTATTTTCTGTCTTATTTTCCCTTTCCCTTCTCCACCTTTCTTCCTGTTTTCCTCTTGAGTGAATTCTTTTTCTGTATTCAGTTTTATTTCTTTGACTAATTCAGATGAGACTGAGGTTCAAGTGTCTCCTGTTCCCCTTCACCCCTCACTAATTGTTTGTGTAAACTTCTACTTGCGCACCTCAATTATGTGAGGTAATTTTCTCTATTTTTCCTATCTGTTTCTTCACCTCCACCAATATATTCCTCTTTCCTAACCTTCCCATGCTTTTAAGATCATCAGAATATAACAGAACCATTCCTAGGCTCTCTAAACAGATGCTCTTTATGACCTCTGATGATGATAGGATTTGGAGGGGACATGAATCTTATCTCTCTATATTAGGATACAAACAGTTTATTCTTACTTAGTCCCATATAACTGTGTGCTCATGTTTATCTTTTTTTGTTTCTCTTGATTCTTGTGTTTTCATTTCAAAGTTTTTATGTAGCTCAGATCTTTTAGGAATGTTTAAAAGTCCACTCTTTCATTGAAGGTCTGTTTTTTCCTTTAGAATTATGCTCAGTTTTGCTATATAAGTTATTCTTGGTTGTAAGCCTATATATCTTTTCTCTTCTGGAATATCATATTTCAAGTTCTCTGCTCTTTTGTACTGGTGGCTATGGAGTTTTCCTGACTATGGCTTTTTAGTACTTGAATTCTTTCTTTCTTGCTGTTTGCAGTATTTTTTCTTTGACTTGGAACCTTTGAATTTTAGCTTTAACTTTCCTAGAAGTTTTTATTTTGTGTTTTCTTTTAGGAGGTGACCAGTAGATGCTTTCACTTTCTATTGTGCCCTCTGGCTGTGAGTTATCTGAATAGTTTTCTTTCAAGATTTCTTGAAATATTATGGCGGGCTTCTTTTTTTAGTCGAAGCTTTCAGGTAGTCTGGTGATTCTTGACATTTTTTTTCCTTGATATATTTTCTACCTCACTTTTTGCAATGAGTTACCTTACAGTTTCTTCTAATTTTTTTCAGTCTTTAGAATTTGAATATTTCTTGATTCATGGAAACTTGTCTTATGGAGACATTAGCTTCTATTTTGGTGTATATTCTAATTTTCAGCTAGTTTTTTCCCCCTTGAGTAAGATTTTATATCCCTTGTTCCAAGCTGTTAATTATATTTCCAAATTTTTGTTCCATAACACTAACTTCAGGGCAGCTAGGTGGTGCAGTGGATAGAGCACTGGCCCTGGAGTCAGGAGGACCAGCCTCAGACACTTAACACTTACTAGCAGTGTGACCCTGGGCAAGTCACTTAACCCCATTGCCTAGCCAAAAAAAAAAAAATCGATGCCATAACACTAATTTCCTTTCCCAGTTTTTTCCTCTACTGCTCTCATTTGGTTTTCAAAAAATATTTTGTAGCTTTTTTTTTTTAAAGCCTTGCTTCATCTTTTTCAGGAATTATAGTTGAATTTGTTCCCAAGCTGTGTTTTACTTTGAGGTTTTACTTGTAGATGTTTTGAAGTCAGCTTTCTTCTTTTGGGTTTGTGTCTTGAGTGTCCTTGTCATCATAATAGTCTGTATGGTGGGATTCTTTTTTTGTTTTGTTTTGTTGATGTTAGGGCTAGGCTATGGGTGCTTCTGGGAGGGTAATGTCTGGGCTGAACTTTTGTCCTCTTGGGTCCTATTACTGGTTTCTTGGGGTTTTATTGAGTGTTGTATTAGTCAAAGTTCTTAAGGACAGTTCAGACTGGGGACCTGCAAGGTTTTAGTGCTCCCAAAGTGATCCGATCCTGGGCAAAGTCTGATCATCACCTTTCTGGTCTGAGCTCTGTAAGTTCCTGACTTGGGTGTAGGTTTGCATAATACTCCTGTTGGCTTGCCCCTGATTGGAAGTTCTAGGAGATGTCTACTGGACTAAGTGTTGATCAGGCAGCTGGAAAGCACTGCTGGTTCAGAGTGATAGAACTGTAGGTTCTTCTTTGGTCTAAGATTCTTTCCCTGGCTGTTACACTGGGGACTTTAGCATAGGCTGGAGGCTGGAACTGACACCTTACTCTGTTCCTGGGGTCTGAGACACACAGTTGATGTTTACTTCTGAACTTGTTCCTTACTTAGTGCATGGCATAGAGTTGGTGACAGTTTCTCAACCTTGGAAGCTCATCCTGGGTGCAGATCCCCACTTCACTCTACCCTGGATCTGTGACCCAGAACTGGGTAATGAATGACAGAGCTGCCCAGTTGACACCTGTTCTTGCATCCTGCATGAGGTCGGGGTTCTCTATATATGTTTGGGACTTTGATGCATAGCTTAGATCCTAATTCCTGTACACCATGGTATCCCTGGCCAGAACGCATCCTCTGCATCAGTAATATCTATAGACTTCTCTATCTCTCTTGCTGACCTTGACTTGGAAATATAGGTCACTGTGATTTTTTTCCCTTGGGTTTCCCAGTCGGGCAAGAAAATGAGCATTTCTGTAGCACTTACTATATGCCAGGCATTGTTAAATACTTGACAGATATCTCATTTGATCCTAGTGACTTGCCCAGAGTTACAGCTAGTCAGTGTCTAAAGACAGATTTGAGAGAGAAAATAATCACTGCCTATAAAGAGTTTTACATTTTACTTGGGGCATGAAGCATGTACATGGATAAATAGAGTAAGAGGCAGTTTGAAGAAAGAGAACGGTGACAATTGATGGCTCACATAAAACTTTATGGAAGAGGTGACAGGAAGCAGAGGTAAGAAGGGAGAGCATCCCAGGCATGGGGACAGCCAATGGAAAGGCATGGGATTGGGAGTTGGGGTGTCTTTTTGTGAGAAACAGTAAGGAGAATTGTTTCTAAATTGTAAGCAGAGGGGAGTAATTTCTAAGACCTAGGTTTAAGTCTTGCCTCTGATTCATATTGGGTGTGTGCACTGAGTAACTCTCAGAAAGTATTCATAGAAAAGAAGGTACTGTCATGAATTGGTAGAGGGAGGTTCCTCATCTGGGAGTTCCCTATACTAATGAAATCACAGGTTCATTCACTGTTTTCAAATCATTTATGTAAACCTTTTTGAACCTAAGGAAGCAAATGAGGTCAAAAGGATGAAAATAGAGGGAAAGGAGGTCCTGGGACAGAGCCAGGGGGAACACTAATGCTAAGGAGGTGGGAAATGGATAATGAGCCATTGAGGTCTGATTCTGATTGTAGGTATTGGGG